ATTACGCAGAATTAATAGTTAGGGGACGAGGTAACTAAATTTAATAGTTAACCTCTTGTTTAAGATGCTTAACATGATTATGACATTCTGATCCAAATATTGTACCACCCATAAGTATAAGGTAAATAAGAGTAACTATTTAAAACATTAAGTTTTTTAAATGGTTATTTTATATGATCATAATTATTTATTATATCATCAATTATTTTTAATTTATTATCACGAAGTTTTTATAGGAAAAGAACAAACTTTAAAAATTTGTTTTTATGTTATCGATTGTATTATATCACTGGAAAAAATTGTGAACATACATATTGCATTTAAATCAAACTAACCTTAACATTTATATTACTTTCATAATAAACTAGTCTACAACAAGGGAGGACCAGAGAGAAATTAAAATTAGAAGAAATTATTATTTCGAGATTTCACAGCCTCTAAGCAATAATCAATAGATAAGCAAAAACAATGTGTAAGAATCGCTTTATGCTGAACAATTGAGCTGTGGAGGCTAAAGGGATTGAAAGCTCACTTCCCAATGAAGTGTGCCAGGTTCGAATAACACTGATGACTGATTGATTCGAATCCTTCCCCCGGCTCGAAAAAACCACAATGCTGATGTAAAATATCCTAAGTTGTCTAAGGATCGTGGATTAGAGTCCACTTGCCATCAGGCTACCCGTATAAGGTTTTCGTGGTTTTCTCACCATAGGAGAAGGGTTAGTTCCATTAGAAAAATCCTCCACGAAAGCAAATGTCTCCAATATTTGATACAGAAGTTCCCTTGTCTTCTGGATTGCGTTCAAAATTACAAAGCTGCGGAGTTAAAATTGGGTCCAATGTTCGACGACGGTTATAAAATAAAAAAAATAATAAAATATATATATACTGCGCAATTGAAAGGAGTAGGTTTTTTTCTTTTCCATGTTTGCTCCTTCAGTTCTAGGACTCAATAAAAAGGGCATCGTTTTGAATTAGTTATAAAATGTGCTTTGTTGTTAAGTACTATGTATTCAAATAGTTCAAAGAAAACAAATTTTCAATTTCGAATTAATCAAACTGAACACTTATCAGCTATATTGGTAAATGAAACGTTCTTTTGCAATCTAATGATTATTATTTTTAAAATGTGTATTTGTATTTAAGAACGATGACCAAAAATAATAATTATTATTAAAACTTGGTAATAAAAGAGAGCATAAATATCTTATTATCTAAAGCAGTAATGCGCGTATGCTCACAAAACTCGCAAGATTTCTTTTTTCGCCCGGGCAACGGAAATTGAACTGATTTCTTTTTTTTATTTAACATAAAATGCAGCTTTCATTTTTATCTACTATGTTAGTATGATTTTTATCAGCTTCTTCCTTCGATTTTCTCAAGTTTTGAACAATTACATTTTTTGAAATGAAATAAAATATTTTATACCTAACAATTCAAAGTGTTTCCGACTTTTTTTTAAATAGAATAATATAAAGTAGTAAATATTTACTAAAAGTTATTTTTTGCATGGAATTATTTTTGTATAAATAAATTTTATAACTGTGTAAAAATATTATAACTCGCTTAAAAAATTTCTCGAGATGTAAGCAAAATTCGCAATAAAAAAAAAGAAAAAAAAGCGTTAAAAGGTACAAATTTGGGACCACACACCTGACGAAACTATTGTGACCATAGTTCGAATTGCGGCCCTATATATTGGGGTCCAAAACTCTAGATCCAACGAATAAAAGGAATGTTTATTCAGAGAAAGAACGTTTTCTAGTCTAATTTCGTAATTTAAAAAATCATCCGCCCTAATTAATTAGAATATTTGAGATCACCCATTCGAGTCTTTAAGATTGAATCCTAAAAAGTGATGATCTGGTCATTAGATTAAAAGTCATTCCAAATGGTCTTTTATTATTTTGTGCACAGTACAGAAATTAAACAAAATGTTTAGGAATCGAAGGTTTTACGGGATACATCTGTCGCATATTTTTAAACATCATTTTGAAAAGATTATCAGAATGCATAAGAAGCTGGACTGAAAATATATCCGAAGAACAAGCTGGCTAGGAGCGTACATAAACTTAAGTGCACTTCCTCGCAGGATTTATAAATGTGCATTTTCTTAGTCTAATCACAAAAAAAATTATTTTAATAAGAAATAAAAAACACTATTCTGAAGAGATATTGAGTTAATTATAATCATTAATATTTTTTGACTTGAGATAATGAAAATCGTAATTGCAATAAAAAGACATTTAGAAAAGATACTGAATTGAAGCATAGTATACATTTACCATATTGAAATGATTATTTTCTTTTTAATATGAAAAGATAACTCACTATCTTGCGATAACTATATTCAAAGTTTAGCTAAGGATTATTATTATTTATAAAGGGAATAAAAAATATTTATTGCACAAAAAAATATTAAAAGTAAATTATTACTTTTTAAAGTAAAATAATTAAGTTTTAAAGTAGTTTGAATTTTGTTTCAATTTTAATGCGGTGGGAGAACTCTAAGCGGAGATGGTGGGATAAATGCGAGTCATTGCCGCTACAAAGTAATAGTAAACCAATGACTGTAGCAAGCTTCAATAATTAGCAAACTTTAATCTGATATTTCATTCTCTTTAGAATTCATGAGCTTCTGTCTCTTTTGAAATGAAAGGAACTAAACATTTTTAGCGATGCTGTTTTCATGGTAGCGCACTCTGAAACAATAAAAGGAAACAAAATTTGCCTGATAGCCAGACCTGCTCTTGTTTTATACGCAAGATGAAGGCTATATACTGATTGCCAATGCATACAGTTACATTTTCAGCGGTTTTGAGAATTGGGAACTTTAGAGCGGAGAAGTGTCATCTTGGACCTCCAGTGCAGTTGATTAAAAAATAACAAAAAGTAGGACAGATTTGCCTGAGCAACCCTGTACTTATCCCATCAGGTTTATACTCTTTCACATTCAGCTTTATACTCTTCTTACGTTTGTCGAGGCGGCTCTGAAAGAAATAACGCAAAAATTGATAGCCCCGATTTTCACTAGGGTGTTTTATTTTATTTTATAACCGTCGTTGAACAGCTGACCCAATTTTTGGGTTTACGACTACTAATGTTCAAACACGTAGTCTTGTAATTTTAAAACCAATCCAGAAGACAAGGAAACTCTTGGATCACGTATTGGGAGAAATTTTGCCTTCGTGGAGGACTTTTGGATAAAACTAACACGCATTTGCGTTACATGACGAGGAAGACCACGAGACCCTCCCATAGTTAGCCTGACTGCAAGGAAACTTTAACACACAATCTGTCTACCCCTGAAAATATTTCACGTTAGCGCTGTGGTGGGTGAGAGCTGGATGCTGAATTCGTATCTACCAGCCATCCCTGGGATTCGAGCCCAGTTCACCTTATTGGAAGGCGAACTCTCTATCTCTAAGCCATAGTGGATGAGGGTGTTTTATTGAAAATTGTTTTCTTGCGAGACTAATGCATCACTTTCGGTGGTCACTACGTGGAAAAAAAATTACCAACAGTTTTTATTTACGATGCTGAAATATTTATCTACTATTTATAATGAAACTTAAAAAAAAACGTATAAAGATATTTACTTCCTAAATGCTTCTTGTACAAAAGTAAGTATGTTTTTATTCTGTAGACGTGGCATGGGCGTGTTTTTAATATTCTTAAGTCGTAATATTCATAAGTCATTTTTAACTCATTTAATGTTCTTAAGTCGTTTCAATCAAAGACAAATTTTTTTAAATCTATTTTGAGCAAAATGTCGGGCAAATGTATCGGTTCTATTTGAAAGGAAACATGTTTAAATTATACGAGTTATTAAGAAAGCAGCAAATTTCCAAAATAAAGAGAAAACAAAAAAGATTATGACAATTACAGTCAGCAAAATCAAAACACTCTGTATAACTTTTGATCTGATGACCTTATTTTCATGAATCTGCTCACAATATAAATAAAGTGCGCAAAAAATGAACACTATGAATGACCTGAGATCTAATGATCGAATCTTCACATTTTAGAACTCAATGTTGATGGCTTGAGGATGTGGCCTCAAATATGCTAACGATAATTCGTGCAAACGATATTTTAAGTTATGAAACCAGAAACAGAAACTTATTTCTCTGAATAAACATCTCTTTTTTTCAACGAAATCGAATTTCTGACCTCTAAATTATTGGAGGAAATCGCAATATGTGAAATATGGTCCCCATAGTTTGATCATGAGAGCAGCCCAAAGTTTGAGCCACTTTATGTTAATTTTACTTTTTACGTATTTTCCCATATCTCGAGAAATGTTTAAACGAATTGTAAAAATTTTGCACACAATTATAAAATTTGTTTATCGAAAGGTAATTCCATTAAAAGCACCTAAAGTCATTTTTTATTACTTTATTTAAAAATAATCTAAAAAAATTTAATAGCTAGGTATGCAATTTTTGCATCATTTTAAAGAATGTGTATTTTTACTTATATGCATACATATATTCATACATATTCATACATATAACATATTTATGCAGAATATATATTTATACATATATTCATACATATAGGGGAAAATGCAAACTTCGAGGGAAATCGAGCAAATAGTTCTTGAAAAATCGAATTTTATAAAAGTTATATTTTTAAAGGAACTATCAAAAGTTATTCAGGGTAGTTTTTTTTTCTTTCCTTCTTTCTGTGCAAAAATTTTACCTTTATGCAAAAAAATGCGTTTCATAGATGTAAATTATTTTTTTAAAAGAAAAATTAAACACTTCTAAAAATCAAAATAGCAAAACTAAATTTACATTTATTTCAAAAGCAAATCGAATAAACTGGTTTTATTCAATTTATTATTTATAAAATGAATTTCGATTCCACCTTTCCTTTCCAAAAAGCGCAAAAGCACAATGATACGTACTATTCTAATAATACTTTCACAGATAAAGAAAAAGAACAAAAACGAAAAACATTAAATGTGAGAATAAAAACCCTCTGTCGAAAGAAATCCGAGAAACACAATTGCTCCCAGACGACTCGAGAAGTGGGTGGATTGGAAAGTGGACGTGAACGGTCACTTCTCTTCCGATGATTAAGTGGGGGTGTTGAGGGCGCGCACAAACGATCCGGACAGCCCCTATCGTCTGCCGGGGCGGCACATGAAGTTAAAGCAGTTCGGGCGCGTGGGTGAGAAGGACGGCTGCATGTTGGCTTCCCAACCAACTCTTTCCATGTGTCTCTTACTTTTAGCAGCGGCGGTGGGATGCATCTTTCAAGGTACATTCTTTTCTCTCTCTCTCAGACGATATTCCTTACCACACCTGTTGATTTTATTCGGATGATTCTAAAATATCAAATTTCATTCTAAAAGATTTCGGATTTTTTCCACAAGTGGAAATGAAATAGGTAAAAATGATCTCGGGACATAAATTGAAAAAGTTGGCTCATTTCATTAAAACTATATATATATATATATATATATATTATCCGACCGAGTTTTAAAAATATATGTTAATACTAAAGGGTGATATTGGGACAGATATATTTACAGTATATAAGAAGGAACAATTTCTTTATTTTAATGCTTTTAATAATATACGCACTTAGAAAAGGAAAAATATATAATTTTAAGCAAGGGAACATTTTATTTACATTGTGATATTGTATAGAATTCATAAAATAAAAATCGAAAGCTTAATGATGGATTAAAAAATATTTTTAAACCTTTAAATGGATTATTTTAAAAATAATTTAGAAAACTTTGTTCTGGTTAGTTTTTCTTTAAAGGGATATTATATATGTCAAAGAATTATAGTACTAATTATTTTATGTAAGGACATTTTGCTACTGATAGATATGAATGAGTTTAATAAAAGGTTAATTGGGTCAATTTCAAATAATATTAGCTTCAATTTTTCATTATTGAAGTCAAATAATTTAAAATAATTAAACTTTTGTTAATTCCTGTTAGCTTCTCTATAAGGTATTTGGAGTTTTAACAATGTTTATTTAGAGGCTGAACATTTTGCTACTGAAAGACATAAATAAGTTTAATAATATGTTAATTAAGTCAATTCTGAATTATATATTAGCTCCGATCTCTTATTATAGTCAAATAATGTTTTTAAAAAAAACTGAACTTTTGTTTACTCTAGCAATTTTTTCTTCAAAGAAAACGAACATTTTTAGAGGAATTGCTATTGATAGATATAAATGAGTTTATTAAAAGGTAATTAGATTAATTCTGATTTTGATTTACACCAATCTCTTATAAATAATTTAATAAAAAACTAAACTTATGCTTATTCTTGTTAACTTATCTTCCAAGAAAATACTAAATATTTAAAGAAACTATTGTAATGACTATTTGATGTCTGGGCATTTTGTTATTGATACACACGAATTAGTCTAATGAAAGGTTAATTAAGTTTAATTTGATCTTTAATTTGATTCCGATTTTTTTTATTGAAATCAAATAACATTTCGGGTTATAATACACCGAGAAAAAAAGTGATCAGAGCTACCAAAATATGGTAAAATTTCTGTGTTTCTGACTGTAGGAGAACATCAAAAAACTCCATAAGCGCTTTTGTAATGATTTTGGTGAAAATAAATAGTAAAACATGGTTTTATAATATATGATAAAGTTTGGTGAATGTAACAAAATTTGGTAATTTTATCATGGTATCTCAGAGTGTGGCATAGAAATATTTCTTTAAATTTATTTTTAGCTTTGTATTTTTTTTTTACTAAACGTGTGGGGTAATAAGAACTATAATTTTGAAAACCAAAATTTCCCTTAATTCATTACCATATGAACGGAAAGTAACCAAATGATTGGTTTAAATTTCATATATTTTGGTTTTATTAATCAGAATTAAGTTTTTTCTAACCAGAAATTTCATTACCATACGGTATGGTAATTTTCCAGAATTTTCTCTTCTGGAATATTCACCATTAATGGTTAATTTAAATGGCAAGTTTGAATCAAAACCTTTACAGCTTCATAAAAGCGTCTGACCCTTGGGAATACAGAGTCAATTTGCATATTCAGAATGGTGTATCTTAGCATATTATTATCATTGGACCATCGAAAAGCATTGTAACAAGAATTTAACAGTGTTTTGGTTAACAAAATATATCTATTAACATAATTTTATCTTAACTATATATTTTAATGAAGAACTGGCGAGATTATTCATAAAAAGGTAATCTATAAGCCCAGAGTGTTACTACAATTTATTTGCAACTAGTCAAATCATCAATAATAAGCCAGTAATAAGCTGTTATTGGATATGTATATACGCGATGATAAATACCCAATAAAAATAAAAAATTCAAATCAATAACATACAATTTAAATCAAAATACATGTTATAATAAAATATATATTTTCACTAAATAAACCACTGGATTAAAAGAAATAATTTTTAAAGTGAATATTTAGAAGTGAGATGCTAAAATATACTAAACTAAGATTATTTGGTATAGGTATAGATCAAAGTTGTTTTCTCTTATTTTAGCAGCCATTTTTGCTTTGGAGCTTTGCAATAAGTTTATTTCAATAAACAATATGTTATTGTCACGGAAAAATACCATATTATCTGCAAAAATAGTTGGATGTAATATGCATCCCTATCACTTGATCTGTTTTATTGACACTAACTGTAGGGAGAATTTCGTCACGTGATTTCGTGTAGTCAGCAACGAAAATGTTTATATTTAATATTAATGTTTTCATTTCTTTATTGACAAAAATTATTAAAACTAATCTAAAAAGCTCTAAAAGTTTATAACTTGATGAAAAAAGAATGATTATTACTTTTATTGTTTTTGAGTTGATCAAATTAACCAGTAAATTCTATTGTCTTTTTTTAGTGTTATATTTACTAATATTATTACTACTAAAATAGCTCGAATAAAATTATTATTAACGATATCTAAAATATTTTATACGAATGCAATTTGGGAGCAGCATTTAATGCTATCATGCACAATATTCTACCTCTCTGTGAAACGTGTATGTTATTATCAAATAATATTTTTCCTCAACTCTGAATACTAAATTTTATCTATAAATATTCTGGCCGATACTTTAAAAATTCCATAAAAAGCATTATCGAAAAGTAATTTTATAATTTATTGAAGCTTTTTGTATTCATGGAGTTGTTAAAGTGTTTAAGAAATCATTTTTGTGTTCCTTTTTTAATTTTTTATGAACAGTTAATAAAATAAAGGGGGGAGAGAAAGAGACTGTTAAAAACTAAAATAAATTATTTGACCATAAATAAGTACATAAATTAAAGATTTCAATAAACTATATGTTTTAGTTTAAACGAAATATAGATGAAAAAGGATGATTAATATCAAAGTAACTTTTTATAACATGCACATAATAACATACATATAACACACATAATAAACGCTATGAAATCAACTGAAAATTTTTAAAAGCCCTACCTGAAAATAATAGTCAAATTAAATAAGTTATGATATCTCACAAAAACGAATATTTAGTTTAGAATACTTAACTAAAGTTACTTTTTATACTTTTTTACCAAAGTATTTGTTGTACGCGAATGAATGAGTAATTAAACCAATGGTTTTTGCCTCGTAATATGACGAAAAACTAAGTTTGAGTCTAACTAAAAAGTTATAGAAAGTTAGATTATCAACGTAAAGTGGGATACCGGATGTGATTTTAAAATTCAAAATAAATTAATATCTGAAGTCAGAAAAAATATTTCCTTGAACTTAAGGTATTTAAAAAAATCCCCTCTGGTGAAAATTAAACATTAATAAATTAAATTTGATCACTACATACTAAGCATTCACAATTAAAAAAATGTAATATATGTGTAATAGGCGAGCATTGAATTCTCCAAAATCTACAGTAATGGTTGTTTTTGCAAAGTAAACAACATAATACAGACCGGGAGGCAGGATATCTCACAATATAGGTAACCATCTTCATAGGGGTGGGCAAAACAAATTTTTAATTTCAGTTCATGATACTTTGCTAATATTTATAATAATTATATGTTATATTCTTATGGGATGTAGCTCTTCGAAAGTTGACTAATGTTTAGAAGACCCTTTTCCTCTTTATATTTTTTTTCAAAGCTGCATTTGCTTTAGTTATTAAGAAAAATTGACCTTTAGCTGGTCATATACTTTAGCTATTAACATTGATCGCATGTTAGTATTTTAAAATTGAATAAAAGTAAAACTAAATTGTAAAAGTGAGGGAAAGACGTTGATTTTTCTGCAAGTACTCTCTGTAGTTAGTTATATAATCCATTGAAATAAAAAAGTAAGAACTCACAAACAAGCGAAACGAAATTTTAAAGAAGCATATGTTAGCAAAAACAGCACTTCATCAGGGGACACACTGTCTGTTAACACATTGAAGCCTTTCTGTAGTCAGTGGTTAAACCAAAAACTGACTATGTCCCGAGGCTACAAAATTTAAAAACTAAATAAGAGAACGCAATACATTTATATAGTACCATATTTCTTTAGTTTTTCCGCTATGTGACCTTGAGGCGCAGTCAGTCTTTTTGTTTTTGTTTTTTTTGTTTAAGCACTGAGTACAGAAAGGCTTCAATGTGTTAGCAGACAGTGTGTCCCTTAATGAAGTGCTGTTTTTTCTAACATATGCTTCTTTAAAATTTCGTTTTGCTTGTTTGTGAGTTCTTACTTTTTTATTTAAATAGTTTACAAAAGACAAGTTTGGTCTTAGCTGCTTTTAGCTCTTTTCTTTTTTGAGTTATTATTTTAAAGTTTTTATCTTAAAATTTGTTTCAATCATTTTCATACTTTGATTAGTTAGTTATAAAGTCAAGTCATTCTGCGGTGTTACTAAAATTATAAATAATTTTTTTTTTAAAAAGTGTAAATCTGAATATTTTAAGAATATCTAGCTAATACATAAAAAAAAATACATATAGTTATTAATGTGTTTAAATGAGCAATACATTTTCTAACTAATATTATTAATACTGATATATATTTAGATTTCAATTTTTTAATTATTTAATATATTCAAGGTATTTTAGTTCTTTATTAAACATTAACTTTTAAAAATTAATCATTTCACGCCTTTGAAAATAAACAAAGAACCTCTTACTGCTGAAATCTATAAAGGCCACTAGCCATATACATTTTGTTTTCTGTAAATGCCACTAGCTATAAAAGTTTCAGTCTCAAACATTGAGCCAACGTGGCTACATCTTTTAAAAAGCTTACTAGATGATACCCAAGATACTTAAATCATT